CGTGGCTGACTTTTATAAAGAATATCTCTTTGGATTTGAGACTTTAGTCTTTGCAACATTTCAGATCTTCTTTATGCAACAAGAGCTTGTAACACTCCAAAGAGAAAGGAAAAATTGAAATCGCATCATATGACCCCTTTAACTCTGTATAACATGAGACAGCTTTGAGACTCGGCAGAGAACTTTCCTCCATATGCCTGTGCCTCGTCTATAAAATGGTATATAGCGGGGCAAGTTATCCCTTTTCAGCATGAGAAATACAAGGTGTGGCGTGAGAGTGTGTGAACTGGTTCAAATGTGTGTGTCTCACTGTGAATGCGTGAGACTTGAGAGCCCTGCAAATCTCTATCAAAATGTTGAAAGATGTGTGTTTGGAGACTGTGTGTGTTTCTACATGTGCTCAGGCCTGATCTACATACTGTTTTACCTATTAAAACTCTGCACGTGCACCAAATCACTAAAGACATGCCTCAATATGAGTTTTTTTTGTTTTGAAACTAAAAACCACAAGATTGCATACAGTACAGTATTACAATTTAACATGTTAGTCCTTCAAATTCCAGCTACATTGACAGTTGTTCACACAGCATGAATAGAGGTGTATGGACCAGTAAACTCCTGTACACACTGCAGATTTTCAGACAAATCCGGGAGTATTACTGTCCAGACACTGGGAATATAATGGTCCGTATACAAATATGTGCCAATTCAGATGCATGTTACTGAGGTATTCTTCCATGCAACAGCCATTTTTTGCCATGGCAAGTAATCCCCTCAAAACATTTTTTTCAGGGGACATTCACACCTTTGTGGCACTGTGCCCTCCCCTTTTGGTAATTCATGTTAAACTGGATTGGTTGATTTGAAACTAAACATTATCATTATAATGATACATACATACTCTTTGTTAGGTTTGACTAAACATAACTATTGAACAGTTCCAGTACATACACATCATACCTCATAACACGCTTACTTTTTGGGAGACATTAATCACTATTGGTAGAGATACTGCTAGATAAACCATTTCTCCTGATACACCAGTAAATGACCAGGTCATAAATTCTGTGAAATAATATGGAAAAAATGAAACCGGGGAGAGAAAATGCCTTCAAATTATAAAACATACATAGATATGTTCTCCAATGGCTCTGTCAAAAATAATAAGGCTAGCTATATTTGAGTTCAATAATATTAAAACTATTTTGAGGCTGTTTTGTGAAACTTCCCTGGCTCAGCCCCTTCCTCCACCTGGGAACACAGTAAGCACCTTAACTGCTGGACATTAACATATGAAAGGTCTGACAGCCACCAGTCCTCACAAACAGCAGTGTTTCAGCTGTATATGTCCATGAAACTTCACCGATTCCTGTCCCAGATAGCAAAATTGCTGAGGCCCAGATCAGGCCCACACCTGACACTTTCATCTGGCCTACATACCGCGTAGAATGATGGCACTTGGGCGGTCTGCTCCTGTTTGCCAAATTTGGGCCACAAGTAAACCTTAGCATTGCCGCATGTAAGCCAACAAAATTAACCAAAACTGGCCCTAATGTGGGCCACGGTTCATTTTTATTCTAACCCTGGGGCCTCGTGTATAAAAGTTGCATACGCACAAAATGGGCATAGAAGTGTGCGTACGCTGTTTTCCATGCACGTATCTGGATTTATAATAAATAAACTTGCCGTAAATATGTGCGCCCCGTACGGATGCTCTTGACTGTGCGTACGCACTCTTTTTTCCTGGAGTGAGAAAAGTATCAGAATCAGCTTTATTCGCCAAGTGTGCAGACACAAGGAATATGTTGTGGTGTTTAAGGTGCTCTTGGTACATACATGCATACATACATATCTGACATGAGAACAGAAAAACATTTAAATAGTAAGACTTAATAAAACAGAAAAACATTTAAATAGTAAGACTTAATAAATAATAATAATGTGTATGAATCTGGAACAGAAGATTTATGTACAGATTTGTACATTATTTACTCTATATTCAGCTGTACAAATAATGAGATATGCATATGTATTTACATCATAATTGAGAAAGAGGCAATAATTAAAGGTGGAGAATGAATTACAGAAATTAATTACAGAACACAGGTAATGATTCCTGTGTTAGCTGTTTAAGCTGGAGATGGCATGGAGGAAAAAAACTGTTTTTATGCCTAGATGTTCTAGTGCAGAGATCTGTTCACGTTCACATTTTTGCCAAAGGTGGACCACACTTGGTTGGCACTATTTGGACCATATTCACTATTTAACACATGGGCCACTTTAGGGTCACATTCAGATTACACATTGCCGTGAACACCGCATCTTTGCCTACAGAGGCCCACATGTGATTTGATACATTTGGGCCATTTTTACTATTTCACATGTGGGCCACTTCAGGCTTACATCCATTTTGTACAGGCCATAAGAAGGCCAGCAGTGTCGTATCATTCCGCACGCTATCTGGGTTATATGTCCGTGTACACCGGAGTATGTGGGTATTTCTGGAATTTTACTGTTCTGTGTAACTTGGCTCAGGTAATTTCCATATACAGCCAGCAAACCTGAAATTACACGGCAATTTACCATGACCAGATATGACCAGATTTGGAGAAGGGGGATGACCATGATTGTAATAGTATAGCTTATTATTGAAATATTAAAAGCATAACAGGGGCTGTACATGTGGTGCATGCTCTGCAAGACGAAGATAGAGCAAAGGAAAAAAATACTGCAGCCAGCTGAAGGAGATAATGCACAACACTGTGAGGAGACACACGAGGATAAAGGAGATGGTGAGCGACATGCCGAGGGTACGACACAACACTCAGGAGGTACTGAGAATCAGATGTCTAATGTTTTTTTTTTGAGACAATGGTGATATAGTAAAGTACTATACGGGTCTGCCAAACCTGGGAACCTTTATGGTCTATATTTAATATATTCAATGAAGAAAATGCAATGCTTTTACATTTGATTATTCGGCTTCTGTACCTGAACACCTACAAACTTGAAAAAAACATTGTTCTATTTATTTATTCGACATTGTCTTGGCTGATAGAGGTTTCGACATAAAGGAAAGTGTTGGCATGTTGAGCGCAGAAGTCAAACTCCAGCCTTTATCAAGGGTTGCTGTCAGCTAGCTGCAAGAGATGTGGAGGAGATTTTATTCTCAGGCTTTATCCTGCTTGACCAGTCTTGCATTAGACTTGGATTTGATCAAGGTTGGAGCAAAACTCTGCAGGACTGTGGCTCTCGAGGACAGACGTTAGTCACCCATGCTCTAGAGAAAAAAACAATCTATGCTTTCACTTTTTCTTAATTCCTCCCTGTTCTAGCTTGTACTAGTCTGAAACATTGTATTACAATACTTTGTTTGATTGTTCATGATGAATCACTTGTATTTCTCATTTTGAAGTCACTTAAAATAAAAGTGTTTGCTAAATGAATGAATGTGTGTACACTGACATTTTAATACATTTTATCTGTATTATATTTAATTCTTGTTTTATGTCTTCACTTCAACAGCCAAATGAAGTATGGAAACTGAACACAGGTTTAATGTTAGAGAAATCAAATGTTGACAACTACTTACAATAGTGCAAATCAGTGGTAAACAGAACATGTATTCAAATACTATAAGTACATGTCAGTACAATTTATATAAGTATATACTGATGTAATTCTTTGACAAAACAAAAACTTGAGTGTTTGAAAGGAAAACATCTAACGCAGGGGTTTTCAACTCTGGCCCCAGAGTTTAGCTCCAACCCTAATCAAACACACCTGAACAATCTAATCAGAGTCTTCAGGATTACTAGAAAGTTACAGGCAGGTGAGTTTTTATCAAGGTCGGAGCTAAACTCTGCAGGACTGTGGGCCTCGAGGGCCAAAGTTGAGAACCCCTGATGTAATGTGAGACAGCAGCTTGAGTTTAGGTGGAACAATCAGAACAGATCCAACTGTCTTCTTTGGCAGATGCATGCTGTAGCCCAACACAACTTAGATGAAACCACACAATTTTGCAGTTTTTGTTGTCGCAGGCTACCATGTTGTCCTTGCTTTCCGGTCCATGACAAAGGCACCACTAGCTCTTTCTGGCCAGGACGCGTCCTGGGAAAATGGCACGTATGGTCACCCTACTGTAGCCCCACACAACTTGGATGGAACCACACAATTTTGCAGTTTTTGTTGTCGCAGGCTACCATGTTGTCCTTGCTTTCCGGTCCATGACAAAGGCACCACTAGCTCTTTAAGTGGCATCTGTCTTGCAGTCTGAGAGAAGTAACAACTTACAAGTTCAAATGGACACACACTCAAAAATTTGCTGTGCTTTTTTAAGAACAGCAGTCCAGAGCTGTGGGTCAGGTACAACACGCAACACAGCACAGTCTTTTAAAGTCCACAAAATAAAATCACAGTACTCTGCATCAGCCACAAAAAATTGTGTCTGGACCTGCTTGTAGAATGGACTACACTTCTTTAGCTGAAGCTCACAACCCACAACTTCCAAACAGAAGTCTTTGGCCATATCCACTTTCACAGGTAGTTTTTATAAACAGTTTTTCCTTCTTCCGTTTTAAAAAAATCTCCGTCCACATGAAAACGCAAAAGCATGCTATGAAGCACTGTCAAGAGCATGCCAAACCAACAGGTGGCGATATAATCTCAACCGTAAAGCCATGTTGGCCAATCAGAAGCCTGAAAAAGTAGGTGGAGTTAACGGCGCATCCTCCGACGTCACAAGCCAAAAACGCCGGTTTCGTTATCTACACGATAACAATGAAACCGGAGTTTTTGAAAATCTTCACCCTGGCAGGAGTTTTCAAAAATGTTCGGTTTCAGTGACCTGTTGCTGCGTTTGCGTGTGGACGAACGGCCAAACCACATAGAAAAAGCTGTGGTTTTGAAAATACCCACGTTCTTGTAGACAGGGCCTTTGTCACAGCTGCTGCATGCGTCCTGTATAGCAGGGGTTTTCAACCTGTGGGGCGCGCCAGCACCTTGTCAAGGGGGGCGCGTGCATCAGTTAATTCAGAGACGTTCTCTTGAGAATTTATGTCAGGGATCTTGGGCCTAAAAAGGTTGGTGACCACTGCTCTAGGGTCTTCAGGAGAGGAATACTCTCTTGCCATGTACACCAGAGTCATCTGATTCCCCTGCACACGAAGACTTTCAGTTAGGCCTCAAGTATAAACTCTGGGTCAACTTGACAGAAGGAGACTCTTTGCTCTAGTACCTTGAGTATAAAGTCAGGCCGTGTGGTCTCAACTATCAGAAAAGCATCACCTCTCTTTGTCTGGGTATGTAAGCGGTAGTCAATAATTATACTGAATTTATTTGATTTTCACAGACATCCAGTACACAAACGTTCACTGAAAAGAGCAATAACCTGCAGTTCAAGAAAGTCAGATTTGATTTTTAATTTTGTAACTGCTCTGACTGATTCAAGTGAATTTATTCAGTGAAAGATGTGAAATGTCAGAGTCTTTTTAAAGATCCTTTAAAGGGAACCCCAGGTATTAAGACTTGTATGGCTTAATATAACGTAAATGATGTCTCTTTCTGAAATATGTAGTAGAAAACCCATGAAAGATTTATATTATTTTAGAAATCCACATCGTTTTATACATTTTTTGGGGGGGGCGCCAAAACTACCTGCAAAGCAACAGTACTGCAAAAGTTTTAGGCACTTGTGTAAAAATGCTGTAAAATGAGGATGCTGTCAAAAATAATGTCATAAATAGATGTTCTTTATCAATTAACGTCTATTAACTAAATTAAATCAATATTTTCTGTGACCATCCTTTGCGTTTAAAGCAGCTTTTGCCCGAGATTCACTTGTGCATAGTTTTTCAGGTAGCTTTGCAGGTAGGTTTCTTGAAGCATCTTGGAGATGTCTCCACAGTTCTTCTGGATTGAGTCTGTCTCAGTTTGTTCTGTTTCTTCATGTGATTCCAGACAGACTGGATGATGATGAGCTCAGATCTCTGTGTGGAGCACTGGCTGTTCTCAGACAAAAATCTCACTGGATTATTACAATTAATGGCAAAAGAAATGTTTCAGAATGTAAACTATTTCCTACTGACACACTGCAGCAAAAGATAGAAATAACTGACTTCAACCCATTTTAGCTGCTGAAAATACTAGTGTTTTAATCATTTTGGCCACCACTGTATGTGTATATGTGTGTGTCCTGCTGTACTGTACCTGTCACAGCCGATATCCAGTGAAGCCACTCCAGGCCTGGAGCAGTTGCACATCTCACACCCCACCAGAGGATGTCAGCCAAACCAAACGTCTGGGGTTCACAGATGACTCAGTCTGGAAGACAGATACACGCACCCGTCACAGGCTCACACAGACGAGTACTACAATTGCATGCTAGAGAGAAAAGGAAGCAATATCATCCATCCATCATTCCACCATGTGGCTGGAGATACTCACGTCTACATTTGGGGAAGCCATAGTATCCTGTGGCACACTGGGAACAGTCTCGGCCAATCACGTTGGGTTTGCACTTTCACTGTCCTCCGAAGGTCTTGTTTATGAACAATATATCCGCACCATAGTATCGGCCGTATTAGAGATTTATTTAATTTATTGGAATCAGCAATTGTTGCATATTTAATTGTGTGTAATTAAAATGTTTACATTTAAGGGTTTAATTAATTAAATTATTTAAAAACACTCACTTAAAGTTTAATACATTAAAAACACTAATATTTCAATAACACTTAAATGTGGTCTTTAACAAATCTCAAATTAAATATACTATACATTACAAAATAAATGCTCATACTGATCATTATGTTCTGATGTAAACATAAATGTACTTTTAGCAGTGCTTTTTAGTATTATTAGTATTGTTTTTGTTTTATGTATATACTATTATAGTATTTATTCATATTTTAAATTAGCTTTTACTTTTATTTTCAGTTTTCATTTTAAATTTAGTTTAAGTTTTAATAATATTTTTATTTTTTCAAGCTATAATTTAGTTTTATTTCAGCCTTAATTCAACTTCAGCTAGAAGCCAAGGAAACATTTCTAATTTTCATTTATTTCTTTAAGTGTAATCTTTTCATCTAATATATATATATATATATCATGATGTTATTTTAGCTTTATTTCAGTTACTGAAACCGATTTTTAATACGAGTTTTACTTAAGTAAAAATAATTTTAAAAAATACAAAATGGTGTGTATATGTTTTTAGTGTTTTATTTTTATATTTATTTAGACAAAATAGTATTGAAGTTTAATATCTACAATGTATTTATTTATTTATGGCCTATTTTAGGCCATAAGATGAATATAATTATCACCCAGAAGTTTTAGATCGTGCATTCCTACATTTTTACGATATGATATATGATATAAATGTTTAAGCATCATACTTGATGTAAAAGCTGTTTTGTCCACAGTTGCCGATGAAGTCGTAGGATGTGTACAGTGGCTCCTCAGACAAAAAGCTGGAGCTGTAAGTGCTCTCCGGCACAACCAGCACATAGTCCTAAAACACACAAAAGAAAAAAACATGTACAGAGGTAAACAACCAGCACATAGTCCTAAAACACACAAAAGAAAAAAACATGTACAGAGGTAAAACAGAATCTTAAGTCAATAGTGAGTCTGTGTTAATCTATTTGCTCACCTCGCCATATGTGTCCTCCGTTGATGTGGATCTGGATGTTGTAAGTTGGGTGCAGGGGCTGATGGTAATGCAAGGATGAACAAATAACGACCCAGTGCATGTACACGTGTTGAAAACATTACAGCATTCTGTGAAAGGAAACAGACAAATGAACATCAGAAGACTTACAGACGTGCTTTTTACTAGCATTTAAGTATCAGAAAGAGACTAACTACAAGACGGGAACACAATGAAGAAACAGTAGGAGAAGTTGGAAAGCAACGAGAGTGTATGGACCTGATTAGGATCTAGAAGCATGTGTTCACTGTTATCAGCGGTGGTTGGTGGTCTGGAAGCCATACAGTAGGTCTGTCTGCATAAAGGGTGGGATCGAGAACTTAAGCCTGATTCGAATCTGGCACAGAAGAAGCCTGACCCTCTTTTAGGACCAGAGACTGAGGAGGATTCTGAAAACGAGACGGGATGCAAGAGCCACTGGACAACAGAGAATATAAAACATGGCAGGGTATATACAGGAATCATGGAGTTAAATTTAATACCTTTAAGACCTTTTTAAGACTCTTTCCATACATTTTAAGACCTCATCGCCACTCCAAGTTTTAACCGGTTTCATCGGCAAAACTTTAACTTACATTTACTATATATTGATTGTAAGATAGCACAACTAAACAGACTTACTTTGTGATAACTCCTTATCAATACAACATAATTCAGAAGGGGGGAACGAAGCACAAGAGCTGTAAAGTGAGTGAGTCTTGTATGACCAATTCGACACCTCGTATACACAACCTTATCAAATCTATTTTCAAAATTATAACAGTTTATACCTTGATTCAATAGTGGGTTTACCTCATACAGTTTGTTATGTATACATTCATTTCACTCCATTTGTCATTTATTATTAATGTACTGAGTCAATAAGGGTTTCAAGTCAGTTGCTGGTATTTTGCATTCTGTCACATTGAACCGGAGTGCTTCTTTTGCTGTTTTATCAGCCTGTTCATTGCCAAGCAAATCCCATGTGTCCCGGTATCCAACAAAAAACAATATTAAAGTCTTGTTTCTTTAAAAGATCCACTTTTTCTACTATACTGATTATTATAGGATGATCCATTTTTAAAGTCTCAAGTGCTTGCAAACAAGATTTAGAATCTGTGCAAATTAAAAAATGACGATGATGCTCTTTTTCTATTTGCTCCGGGGCTAAAAGCAATGCAAAAGCTTCAGCTGTAAAGATTGAACTTTGTCCAGGTATGCACTTGCCAAAACGTTTTGAATCAATCACTACTGCTGCAGACACATGACTGTCCGACTTTGATCCATCTGTATACACTGGGACATGAGGTGGTAAGCTGTGCCTTATATCCAGAAATTCCTGTTGGTAAACAACTGGATACCAAATGTAATTTATGCAATATTTCAACCCTTTAACCCACTGGGGAAAATCAACCCATGGCAACAGTTTAAAA